TTTTGATTTTGAGGCTTACGCCTCAAAACGACTTGAGGCTTACGCCTCGCCTCACGAACAAAAAACGCCTCAATACCCGATCACGCAATTTTAAACATTGGTGTGCACAAATCGAGACAACACGCTTTTCGAGGAGAATTTGCCTTGGCATTGCCCAAACGACATCCGATCTCGAAACAGGCTGCGTCATTGCGACCGGGACATTGGCAATACCCTAAACGCACTGCCAATTTATCTAATTTCTATATTCAATGAATTCGACACATTAAACGAGGTGAAATACACACGAATTTCGAGGCGATTGCACATTAATCGAAACCTTTTGGGGCAATTATCACACTTCCAATAGTCTAATTTATCAATAAATTAAATAATAAAATATTTTATTATTTAATAATATTATTAAATCTAATAAAATAAGAAGTCAAATGAAATCTCAAATCTAACTTAATGTAACTTAATGTTACCTCGTATAAATCAAAATCCCGTCAAAATCCCTTGAATCCCGCTGATCGCCCATCGTTTCGCATAAAAGCTCGCATCAGGTTTCGAACAAGTGCCTGAGCCTATAGTTAAAACGGAGCAAAATAAGTCTTCGTTGGGTTTTCTTGACTTTTGGCATCTGTCCAAGGCCCGAACTCCACCTCGCGTTTTCCTCCCCACTTCAGATTTCTTGAGCCCCGTCCCTCTTTTCCTCTTCACGTCCACAACAACTGCTCTTCTCTACTTCCGTACCTCACTTCAGACATCTACACCCAACGACAGCCACACCACATCAAGCTCAACCCATTCATTTCCACATGCAGCAAAATTGTGGAAGAATTGATGAGGGCTTCGATTTACTTCCTCGGCAATTTCCTTGTTTCAGCCATCGTGCTCCATAGCTCATTTGGCCTCCGATGGGGCTTCTTCAGTCAAGTACTACGATAAGAAGGCTGATTATGCTGTGAAGGTTAGCGTAGTGGATATTGATCCTCACACAGTTGATTGAGGCAAGGAGGCTATGTTTAGCATTTCGGCTAGCACTGACTTTGCCAGGTTCTTACACACTTCTGATGAAACTTCTTGGTGAAGATAACAAAGAATTGACATGCATTACCTGTGGTTTTAGTGATGGGCTTTATCCCATCTGTTGTTGATAGCTGAAACCAATTAGAAAGAGCATGAAGCATGAGCAAAGATATAATGTGGTTGGTGTTGTCTATTGTTTGCATGCAGCTGCTAAAATGTCTCACAGAGCGCAAAGCCTTGCATCTGAAGCATGTAAATGGCATGCATTGTTAACATGTTCTTCCGCTGACACGTCTCAAGGAAGAACAAATAGCTCTGCGAACTTGGATGGCGCTCAAGCAACTCCTTTGTCAATTAATTATCCTGAAAGTGATTTGGAGGAATATCGTTTCGGTGTGGAGGTGGTAAACGCTGATATAGAAGAGCTTAAAGGAAAAAGTTTAAAAATATTTGGAGCTAGTGAAGTTAAGAATACAGGTAATACCATTGATCACCCGGCTCTTCAGAGAATTTCAAGAGAGAAATCATAATAGCTTTCAAAGCTACAGCAGTTCTTTTTATCCTTTTTCTCAAAAGCATCTTCTCAAGTCAAAGTTAAATTTCTCCATCCAATTGCTATAGTTTCATATCTTTAAATATTTATTGCTGTAACTATTAGCTTAATATTTATAGCTAATGGATTTGTAGATTGTAGAGTTGATGTCGTGTGCCATTTGCGTTGTACCTGTTATTAGTGTCGATTATGTATAGGCTTCCGTACGTGTCTTTATTTAAATACGAATTTGCATATATTTTGTAAAAAAAAAAAAAGAAAGAAGTGAAATATTTCAAAAAGAGAAGGAAAAAAAAAAAGAGCAAGCAAAAAAAAAAAAGAGGAAATTTTGATTTTGTATTCGTCACCGACACCGGTCCTTGAAAAGGTATAAAATTTTTAACTCAAAAAATCATTTTCTCGTGGCTTGCGACGAGCCGGCAAACCCCCTACACGCTCATATAGCGTAGTAGGGAGGGAAACTGGCGCGGCGCTTGCGACGACCTAAAAAAAATCCTTCTATCGTGGCTTGCGACGGGCCGACAAACCCCCTACGAGCTCACGTAGCGTAGTAGGGAGGGAAACCGGTACGATACTTGCGACGACCTTTAAAAAAAAAAAATCCTTCCTCGATGCTAGCGACGAGTCAGCAAACCCCCTACGCGCTCACGTAGCGTAGGGAGGGAAACCAGTGTGACGCTCCTAACAAGGCGGGTAATCCCTGGAGTGCTCATGTAGCACGAGGGGGATAAAAAATAAGTACCTTCAAACGCTCATGTAGTGCAGAGGGGGGAAATAAATTGTGTTCTTTTAAAAACGAACCTAAAGACCCTTAGACGCTCATGTAGCGGGCGGAGATAAAAAATATATATATGCTACTGCGGTGTCATTTGACACCTACCTGAAGCACTCATGTAGCGTCGAGGGGAAGACTGCCTCTTGGTTTTTCCCCTAAACGGGGGAGACTCCAGGAGGCTGCCGAAATTTCATTTAAAAATGCTGAGGACTTGAACCAAAAAAAAGAGCTCGGACTTGTATTTAGACACAAAATGAACCATGAAAGACTTGAATAAATTGTGAACTCAACTTGAACTTGATTTAATGAAAATAACTTAAGTGAACTCAAACTCAAGATGGACTTGAACTTGACTCAACATGATTTGAATTCAAAGGACAGCAGGGGACTCGAACGGAAGAGGGTCGTATTGAGCCTGAACTTTATTTGAACATGTTTTGGACTTGAACTTATGCTTTGAACTAGACCACATGGGACCTTGATTTGGACATTAAATGAATAAAAATCAAGCAAAGAATTCAAAATCAAATGGTTTCTAATGAACATAATGTGAATAAGTAAGAACATAGACTTATTATACACATGAAAATTCACCTTCAAGCAAATTACAAAGAGAGTTGAGAATGATTGTAGATGATAGTAAAAATGAATAAAATTATGAGCATGAACAAAAGAGCTTATAGTGCAACAATCTATTCAATGCTACAACTTATTCGTGACAAGCATACATTCCTATTCCTTACAAGCATAAAGAGCTTGAACTTAGAAATTTAATGACAACAGAATGTGCAAGGAACTTTTGGAGGACATTCAAATGAACGACAATATATAATTCCCTGCAAACAATGAAGGTTGATATACAAGAAAATGCATTGATCTTCTGTGATGTGTAGCAAATTTATATACCACTTAAATATATATAAATGCACTGAGTTCTTGCAAATGATGATAGTAAGTTCGTGGTGACCGCAAAGACATCCTTGCTAATAAGGTATTTAGCAAAAGCGCAAATTCTCTGCAGGAGAAGGGAGTCGACATGTAGTGAGTATTATGACATTTCGTCAACCAACATTAGTTAGCTAGCAAATGAAATCTACAACTTCCTATAAGCACTGAACAAATAGTGTAGGAGGAGCACGATAACCCGCTAGCTAATATGCAGAAAGAGAATATTGATGAATGCAATAACATATCATTTGCAAACGGCGATGATCGACATACAAATGCAGTGATCCACCAATCAACACACACAAGAAAGAGCTAGAATGAATGCAACAACATCTCAAACTTCTGTAAGCGGCCACAAACAATACAAGTTAAGCATGAAGAAACTCCCACCAATATAAATAAAGGAGTTGCACTGAAGAATATGTACCGGCTACAAATACCGATGAAAGGGTGAACATGTATATACATCTAGGATGCTATCAACAAGCAAAACACGAGAAGATCTGCAATACGTACAACCTCTCTATGAAAACAAATGTAAGTACAACATGACACTTATGAGTAGATGCAGAAAGACTTCAGTAAATGTAGTATTATGTAGTCAGTTTCAGTCTGCAAATGAATACATCTACCTCCAACAATAGTGGATGTATTGCATGGGCCAAAGACCATAGCAAAATGCATAAAGAATGCGACAAATGCAAGTTTCTACGAGCTTCTGTAGGAAACTCGCTATATACTTAACATGCCATCCACAAGAAAGATATAAGGGAGATGAAGTAGATGACATCATCTATCAACCAAAAAAGCAACAGATTCGTTAGTGCACTAAAACGTACATGCAGAAAGCAATAAGCAGTGCACGACAGTCTACCTATACAAAGCAGCGAACAACTCAATTTAGAAGATGCTACGCCATGACACCGGATCTGCAACATTCATGCAAGCGGACAGAAGGCGTATACGAGCTTCCAAAGAAATCATCACATTCAAATGATCAATGATAAATATCTCAAAATATCCCCGCACATGCACCGCAATTTGTATACACATAGGTACACAAAGGGGTAAGTACAATCATTAACCCGCATGGGCCCCGACGAGCATGTTATTGGTACAAACGTGACGGCTAAGGAATGCTACGCAGGTTATTAAATTTGAGCCCGATCCTCCTAAGCATGTATATAGGAGTCGGCAAGGATCAGCAAGTGAATTCAAGTTCGAACCTGATCCTTCTATACACATGTGACTTCAAGTTCGAACCTGATTCTTATATAGGAGTCGACAAGCGTGTTATTGGTACACATGTGACTTCTAGGAATGCTGCACGGGTCAATAAGTGAATTCAAGTTCGAATCTGATCCTTCTATACGGATCAATAGGAGTCGACAGGGTTCGAACTAGGGGTGTAAACGAGTCGAGTTGAGTCGAGTTTTGGCCCTTATCGAGCTCGGCTCGTTAGATAGAAAGCAAACGAGCTCGAACTCGAGCTCGAGCTCGACTCGCGAGCTAGATAAGCTCGGCTCGCGAGCCCATAAAGGAGTCGAGCTCGAGCCGGCTCGGCTCACTTACACCCCTAGTTCGAACCATCAAATAAATATACAGTTATGGCGACCGGTATATTTATTTTAGTACATTCATATTAGGCCTTGAAGACCTATAATCAAGAGAATTCACTAACAAAGGCATAAAGCCTACGAAACCCAATCCTCATAAGCAGGTAAATAGGAGTGGACAGGGTTCTAACCATCGGATAAATATTCGGTCACGAAGTCGACCGGAACATTCATTTTATATATTCATATTAGGCATTCATGAACTTTAACAAATATAATTCACTAATAAAGGCATAAAGCCTGCAAAACCCGATCCCCTATCAGCAAGTTGATAGGGTCAACAAGGTTTAATAAAATCGAAATAACCCCAAATACCCCGATGATGGCCGCATTGAACAAAAAATCTCAACCCGAGGGGTTCATTCCAAACATTTCAAAATGCCACTCAAATGCTTATCAGAATTCCAAAACTCCACATAAATTCCAAAAATCTCATAATTCAAAAAAATATTTAAAATTGAAATAATTCATCAAACCATTTAAAACAAATTCATCCACCCTCTACAACAGTTTGCTGGGGTGGATAAATGGGAAAACTACTTCAGCTCACAAAGAGCTAATGCCTAGTTGAAAATATCACTAGTATCCATTCTCAAACAATCTCCTGCCAAAAAGGACATGGTACATGTCCTCTGACCGACGTTTTTGCCGTCAAATGGCACCGCAGGATAAACGGTTATGACCCGAAGCCCTCTGAACAAAGTGGTTTTGCCGCCAAATGGCACCACGAAATACCAGTTATGGCTAGAGCCAATACGCTCTTTAGTGGCATCAAATCCTTGAGATATTAATCAATAGGAAATGATTAATAGGGCATAAAGCCCTCTGTTAGCTATGGTGGATTCAAATTTGTCCCCTTAGACAAACATTCACCCCAGGTCTATAAGGTCCTCTTGGACGAAGCAACCCATGGCTATCGACAAGGATCCTTCTGTCAGGTTGGGTCAACTACCTCCTTTGACTAAGTCGACTAGGGACCACGATGGCCCGGGATGACGGAACCATGGGATCTTGATCGGGTCCATCATCCATTCACCCACCATCCGCTTTAAATGCAAATGGTGAAATTTCCAATTTTAAATATCAAATCTTCCAACCTTCTAATTTCCACGTTTACAAACTCATGCTGCTACTATATGTCAGATAACACATACTTTATACATATCTGATTGACGACTAGCCTTAATTGAAAGTTCTCTCTCGTTCTCGTGATCGAGAGGGGTAATTAACTATAGGGGCTTGCGCCTATAGGAAACCAGAACTCATATCATAAATTCCTCACAAAATGAGGGCGAAATCTCTGGGTAGTGTCTTATATACAAACCCATATGTCTTCCAAAATTTATCTCGAACTTAATTTCGTTAAAACTCCCTCGCTAAAGAAAAAGCAACACAGCGGGCGGAGGCCGGGGCCGAATTTTTGGAGCCCACAGCCTCTTCTCAACTCGTGGACACAGCTTGCACGAACAATCTCTTCGCGCGACACTATCCGTGTGATCCGCTTTCAATCGCCCCATCTTCTTCCTTTCTTGAATAATAACCTTCCTCCACCTCGAGATTGCCTCCAACAGGCTTTGATACCAATTGCTGGATTCTTGGGAGGAAGATGAAGCTCCTTGAGCTTCTTGCAAGAGAGAGGGGGAAGGAAGAATAGGAGAGAACAATTCAGAACAGAAACCTTTATTTCTAATTGGCTTGGTCTTATACAGAGGCTTATTCGGATAAAATGAACATAGGAATCAACTATTCTAAAATTGGACCAATTCCTAATAGTTATTCCCAGCATCTATAGAGCCACTTTAATATTACTTGGACATTCAGATGAAAAAGTATTACTCAACTTTGAAACAACAAAATTTTACTAAAATCAAACTCAAAACAGTTTGTATACATTTAGCATCTTCCATCATGACATTCTCTTCTAATTCTGATCATCAATGTCATGGGAAAGAGTTAATTTATTAAAAAGCTAAAATACTTTAGATCAAAAGATAGATAACCATACCACTTGACAGGAAAATGGCAGCATTTTCTCAGGAGGCATTCCTGCACATAAAGCTAGCAAGAGCGATGAAGAAAAGTCAAATCATATGAATACATTCTAATTATGTGCATTTTAAGGAAAGACAGAACAAAATGGACAGAAAGTAAATCAGCAGTTCATGAGGTGATTACTATAATTTATAATTTACGTTTTGTTGATTATGTGAACTCAAGGCATAATAATCAGTAATAAATGAGAGGATGCCTAACATTTTGGCGACAATAAGAAGAATTCCGAAAGGCATATGGAGGCAGTTATTGGCTCTTCAGCTCTGGTTCTTGTACATGAACTCGAATAATTTGCTCACATCAATGTATGACTTGAATGTTCCCATATCATAATAGAGGGAAGGAACTTGTTCATTTGAAGGAGTGGCTGGTGTGTGTGCCCCAGCATCGGGGATGAAGAATCAAGTTACAAATTTTATGTCATGACATACAACTCTTACCAAAACAAACAAAAATCAAGAGCACTACTACTTATAACAATGAAACTCATAGAAAATATGCAATTAGAAACGAAAAAAAAAAACGAAGAAAACCACCTAACAGCAAGTGATAATAAATGGCCAACTAGTAAAATGACTTGTTAAATGAAGAAAAAAAAAGTGCAAACAAACAAAGATTGGAAGGCCATCACTTAATGATAACTTAGCAGTAGATGCTCATCAAATTTTATTAACGAAAACGTAAGTCAGAATAAAACATTGCAACAAAAAGATCCATCTCATTTGAAGAACCAGTGGTTCCCTCGATATTGTTGTAGTGTATGGTAGATGGATATGTTGCCCTTGATATTCACACAGAGATAAACTGCAAATTATATCCAAAAATTAACTTCCCAAAAAAAAATTCAAAAAATTAACCAAAATGGCAAAAGATATAATATGAACAGATCTGCACCACACTTGCTCTAAAAATAAATTTTATATAATATGAGAATGTAACACCAACTAATCAAAGAAAAAAGGGCAATGTTGCTAAAATGGATTCGACGTACCATATAGGACTGCTCCAATAAATGCATCACCGGCACCAGTAGTATCAAGAATTTCCGAAGGAGGTATCTTCTCAGCAGTCCCTAGGAGCAACTTGCCATATAATGTGCCTATTCCATCTGCTCTTAGTCTCACGCTTGACTAAGAATTCAGAAAGAATTGAGGGCATTATGAACTTTCAAATGCTCAACCCTCCAAAGCAAAGAGTGGAATATAATAACCAGCTTCATCTTGAGAAATGCATAAATAATTTATAAAATTTAAAGAGAGAAATATAAGAACAACAAACCTAAATGTTTTGGAGGAAAAAAGAATATATATTAAACTAAAGAAATGAAATCTCAACTTCGATACCACCAGTAAGCACAATTGCACAAAGAACTGAGACTGGCCATGTCTTTCCTAAGTTTGAGGAAATATAGAGAATTCAGATATAATGAGAAAAAAAAAAGCAATACATAATGTCTAATTAGATTAGTTTAAATGAATATGCAATTAGTCAAGAGAGTTGACAGTTCGCAGCTTCCATGCTTATAAACAGTAATTTCAAAATAATAAGCTCAGGCCTACCTCAGAAGTCACTAATGTTGGAGTAGTAACGTTTTCATCAATTCTAAGTTTTAGTGACTCAGTCAAGCTGTCTACGTCTATGGCATCTAGATGAGGGTCTTCACCTATTAAACATTAAAGCTTTCATAAAAATAAAAATGATTCTTAATTTAGATCATAACAGGTTCGGGCACAGATATGATGAACATCCATTTTCAAAGATCTGTCAAGTAATTGAGGACATACCAGGGGTTCTTCTATCAATCATTACGCAACCCTTTTCACCAAGGGTCGCAATCACAAATTTGACGTTTGGATACTTTAGAAGAATGGATACAAGTGCTTTTGGAATAGATGAGGCTGACGTCCAAGCCTGCCATTTTCAATGAAAATGCTAAATTCAAGAAAATCACATGCACAATTATAAAGGAACTCTGATTTATAAGAAACAAGAATCCTGTTGGTCGGAAATAATGCATAATGTATTAATAATTTTGTTATAATTGATCCAATTTTAGATTAAGTTGATCCACAAGACATCACACCGTTGTCAATACTTATATATAGATGCTATAGGTTGATGTATCGGTGGGAAAAATTGAATAAAACTTCAGTATTGTTTTCCTCCAAATTCTGCTCCCCCTGCCTCTCTCCCAATAACAACAAGAATCTCTCCTCCTCAAAAATTCCCAACAAATTTATGTCATTATCACCATCTTCTCTTGTTTATTTAAAAAATGCAAACATAAATAAATCAATAAATACTACATGTTACCCCTAATTTAAGAGATGAAATGTTGTGTAGTCATAGTCCGATCAAAATCATGTTGTCTAAATCACTAACAAATATCAAAAGACAATCTTACAGTGAAAAAAATATCTAATAACATAAAAACAGCAAATCAAACTCAAAATATATTAGACCAAGGTTCAACCTTTAAAGTTAGAAAATGAGTTTTCTTTAAACAATAAGAATTTTAATGCAACCTGAGGAAATTTTTCCGAGCATATGATGTAAGTTGCCAAATCAAGGAGACTAGCAAGCCCTGCTTTTTTGCGTTCTGCCTCAACTAGAATAGGTATGCTCATTCGAGCTGCCTGCACGTGAAGCAGCTTTATTATTGCTTTTGTAACTACTGATCGATTCAGTAATTTCCCACTCAAACCATGAGAAATAAATAAAAAAAGACCATAAGAACAATTTGCAGCAAGTTAAAGATATCCTAACATTCATTGAATTTTTTATGCATGATGTTGAAACAAAAATTGCCCATGAGAAATATCATGGGCCTTACTTACAAGACCCACAAGGCTCACAAAATAGAAACAGATAAAGAAAGAGAAGACAATTTTTGGAGAACCTTGAGAGAAAAATATTGAGATTTTCACAAGATTGGCAAATATACATAAGAAAGTACAAAGTGACTAGATGTCCCGGCCTCCTCTCTGACTCCCTATTTATAAGATTAAGCCAAAGGGTTTCGTAATACGGAAAATGCAACATAAAAATAGAAAATACACAGCTAGATTACTATAAAATTACAGAAGGCATGTGCCAAATATATAAGAAAAGGACATCATTTTTTGATTGAAGTCTCGCCTGAATAAAATTGTTGACTTGACTTGGCAAAGTCACCGACTTACTGAATGATGACACTGCCTTAGCTAAGCGGTGTCACCGACTTACTGGACGAAGTCACTAACCTATCTTGAATGAATGTTGGCAAATCGTACATTTAGATGACTAATTGTATATAGATCAAGCAAGATCATTATTGTCTTGGCAAGTTAACTATGATTGGAGAATTCATTCTCCTTATTCCTACCAAGTTGCTTCTTACCGAACTGTTATTTTTGTTTGAACTGGATACTCAGAAATATTTGGAAACAAGCTTAGAATCATAGGAAAAGCTCTAAAGCCAGCATATTTGATAACTTCAGACTTTATGACCATTTATGAATTCTTGGTAAAGGTAATAGATAGCGTCACTGAATCTATCCAACGATTTAGTAAAACCTTTAGCATATACAATGATTTAAGTCCAATAAAGTAATTTCATTGGAGGAACACTGAAAATACAAAACATCATCCAATGCTTTATGGGTAAATATCTAGAAAAACAAATAGGAAAACCTCAGACATTTTGTGGAAACAACTAGAACCAACATGAGATTAAAAAAAAGGATCTAACTCAAACCAGAAGGCCTCCAGCCCTCCACCTCGATGCTTCTCAAAGAAGCCTCTCTCTCTCTTACTACTATTTTTTCTATCTTTCAACAAAAACTGCCTATAGCCCCAAAATAATTAAATTTGTTCCAAAACTTTAAGCCTACTGTTATCTAAAGGTAAAGGATAATTTGTATTATCATAAAAAAAAGTATTTTACATTTTGTAATTATCGTGACAATATCAATGAATTAAAATCCTCAAAATTAATATGTGTCATAATCATCATAACATTAGCTTTGTGTTTTATTCTTTGTTAAGAATCATATTTTATGCAACGTTTTGGAAAACATCAAGCACCGGAAAAGCCATATGTTAATACTGAAAATGCTAGGCATAATCTTAGAAACTCCTCAAGCAAATTGGAAACTAGAAGGAAAATATCTATCCTACTTAAAAATTATTTAAATATTAAGAGTACCCTTAAAAGACTCTGTGATGCAGGACATGTATGAAATTATGATTTAGATAAGGATTTTGCACGCTTGATGATTAAGAGCAAGTTAACTAAGCTTTATGGTGAGTTAAACAATGAAATAAAACATAAAGAGCGGTAAACACAAGCTTAGGCTAAGTTACTTGCGAAAAGTAAAAATCACATAACAATCAATTACTCCTGACGTTGTATACGAAATAGGTTTCAACAAGAAATCCCTAATCTAACAATAAGAGTAGTGCTATGAAAGATCTTTCACACTATTCCTACTAAATACTAGGCTTTAGCGGAGCGTTGCAAGATTTTGCATGAATCAATAAAAATCATAAATAAGGATCAATCGAGGAAGGTAAGAGAGAAGGTAAGAGTTCACCCCTTGTTAAGATTCCACCTTCTTGCAAGCTTGGGAAGCATTTGGTGGCTTGATAGCAGCGAAACGGTTGATCTCCTCTTGCTGGAATTGATGGACAGCAAGCTGTCCTTCTTGGACAGCAGTTTTGAAAAGGACTCCTGCTGGTAGGGAGGCTCGGGGAAGATGCAGTTCTTGAACAGCAATTTTCCTAATGCTGAAGTTCAGGACAGCAGCCAATTTTCTTCTGGATAGCAGTGGGGTTGGCTGAAACTCTTGGACAGCTTGCAGGTGGTGTCCAGAAAATCTGGACAGCACTTGGAAACTTCAGGAGGAGAAGAAAAACTGAGAGAAGAGGGCTTGAAGTGCACGGCTAGGGCTGAGGGGGATCAGGGAATTATTTGGAGACTTAATTTAGGATAAATTAAGGAGATAGGAGAGAGGTAGTGATGGGTCATCGATAGACATTTTAGGCAGGTCTACCCACGAAGGAATCGTAGATCGACGGCTACGATTAGGAGCTTATATTTCTGATGTTTTCCATGTATCTTTTAATTTCAGTTTTCAGTTTACTATTTTTCCCTTATTGATGTTTAGTCATTGTTGTAGCCCTTTGGGCATTTGAGTCATGTTATTTTCTTTTGATGAGACCTATATAAAGAGGTCTTCTACTTTGTATGAGGTTAATGTTTGATTAATAAAATTTCTGAGATTTTAATTCTTCTTCTTGCTTGAGAGCTTGAGAGAACGAGAGGAAACCTAAGAGAGGCTCACACCGAAATACCCAACAGCCCACATAGGCGAGCTCTTGGCCTTATCTTTATTTTCCTGTTTTCTTCTTCCCAACCACACCCCCATACACCCGGCATCTTCCCCTCCCCCCCTTTTTCGTCCCCCTTACCAGCCGACCCAGTCAAATCCCCCAAAATACCTGCCGGCTTCCCCATCCTCCTTGCCGCCGGCTGTGCTAGCCGCCGGCTCAGGCCAGCCCACTGTCCACTAGCCCAGCCCCCTCCTCCCCGTGAGCAATCCCGCCGGCCCCTACCTGTTGAATTTTGAATTTCAAAATTTAAATCCCTCATTAACTCTCTCCTAAATTACTTCAGCACAAATAGGAAAGGGATTTAATTGGGGCCCAATCTATTTTGAATTCAAATTCAATTCCCTCTCTTCTCTCCCCTCATTTGAAAACTTTCCTAAATTAAATTAAACCTGAAATTCAAAATCAGATTTGATTTAATTTCCTTGGCCCCACTAATTAATCACAATTCTCCTTTTTCCCTCCTTGCTTGGCCGGCCACCCCTCTTAGCCGTTTCTCTCTCCACTTGCCACCTAGGCCTCCATTAATTAGCCAATTAATCCCCCCCTACCAGTCGCCCCTCTCTCTAGCCTAATTTAGGGAGATTTTAATTGCAAATAATCTCTCCCTCTAATCAAAGAAAATCTGAAGTTCAAATTCAGATTTTCTCCAAAACAAGATCTCCCTCCAAATCCCAACTCATAGTTCATCCGCCCCCTTCTCCTCCCCACTCCACCGACGGCATCCCTCCTCCTCCCTCCAAGGTCACGACTCCATCACTCGTCCCTCTCCCTAGCTCACGGCAAGCTCCTCCACCTCTCTATTTCTTCTTCCCATTCAATCCCACTATGAATGGCGGATCCAGAACTTGAAGGTGGACTCGTATTCGACGCCTATGGAAACATCCACGTTCTTTGATCTCCATTCTTCGACGTGGGTTTTGACCACGACAACACAGTTGAATGTTACTTGGATAGAATCCTCCCCACCCTTGTGCACATCATCGACGACCAATTCCAAGACTACATTTGGACAATATCGGACGCCATCCACCACCACCTCCACCGGCGGCTACCTCTCCGGTAACGAAGACCTTCGTCTCCTTCTCCGTAGTGGTGCTCTCCATCCTTGTATGGTTCTTTCTCCGCCGCTAAAGCCAAGAGTGAATGAGTGAGAAGGTGCTCGAGGTGAATTTTCTCATTATTAAGCGTAGGATTTTGTTATGAGCATTTAAGTATTTCTTTTATCAGTGGATGTTGTTTGAATTGTATGGTTATCTCAAAGCACATCTTCGCCTAAGAAAGTTGACTATCTAGAATTTATTTAATCCTTTATTATATTGGTGATAACTTTGTGGTAGTAACGCTTTATTTAATTATCATCTTAATTTCCGCAACCAACTCCTACTTGATTCACATCAGGTAGGGGGCAGCTAGATGATTGGATCTTGATTGGATTTAAATTAGGAAATGGTTTAATGGGAAAGGGAGGGGCCGGCCATGCAAGAGGGAGTTAATGGGAGCTTTGAATTCTTTCCAATCATAGATGATTAAATATGGAAAGGGATTTAAAGGAAAACCTTTACTTAAATTCAGATTTGGAACAATAGGAAAGTTTTCAAATTGAATCCGTCTTAATTTAGGAAAGGATTCTTGAAAACTTTCCAAATTTAAGAGGATCTAAATTTGGTAAGCTTCCAATTCTTTCCCTAGAGGAGACTTGAGAGAGAAAAGGAAGGTGGGGGGAAAAGGGCTAGCGGCATGATGAGGGTGAGGGGGTTTTTAAGAAGGCTTTTAATGCTTGCCTAAATGGGATACTTGATTGAAGCCAAAGAAATTAAAGCAAATCGAATTAGAATTTGATTTGGATGAGATTTAGGAAACCATTCTAAAATAGATTTCTATTTTAGGAAATAATTCAAATCTCAACTTAATTTGAAAATTGAAAGTATGGCTTTCCAAAATTGGAATTATATAAAAGGCAAGAGTTAATGGGATTGGAGTGTGGAGGAAAGGGGAGGGGATGGAGGCCGGCGGCTTAAGCTAGGTTGATGGCCGGCGGTTGGGTAGGTGATGTGAGGGTTCGACTAGTATGGGAATTGAGGGTGTTGGTTGGGAGTTTGGGGTAAGGGTGGGGGTCTTGACCAGCGGCTAGAGAGTAGAAGAAGTGAACCGTGGGTTGGAGGAAGGAGGGGGGAAGATTGGGAAAAGAAAGATAAAACAAACCACGAACCCTACCGTTTTGAAGGTTGGTGGGTAATCCGTTTTCCCTCTCCTTGGGATTTCTCCAAGACCCACAAACTCTCACATCAAGAGAAAATTTTCTTTCATATTCATCATTATTCCCCAAAGAAGGAGAGGGGCTTTAAATAGCCCATACAATGAAAAAATACAAAGTACTATAATGCCTCTTGAGCTTACACATACCTAAGCCCTTAAGTAAGGATAAAAATGGAAAAGCATAATAAAACTTCATAAAATAAAAATAATACATCAATAATAAATATGAAAATCAAAAGTAGAGCAATGTAATCGTGGCCGTAGATCGACGGCCCCGCCTCTAGTAAATTTTCCATGTCTGGATGTCCTCATCACTCTCTTATAGAATTAAAATCATCACATTATATTATGCTAGGCCAAATAATGAATTTTCAAGTTTTATTGTATACAGACTTTGAAAATTTCACAAAATAATTATATCAAATAAATATAGTTAAACCATTCAAACTTGCAGCATGTATAAACTGGGGCTAATCTACCATCACTATCTAATTCATCTCTGTCAACATCTATGCTGTCTAGCATTGTGTTTATAACCCTCTTGTTCTCTATTTCCTAAAACTCATCATCCCCATCTTGAAGAGGTTACTATTATAGCACCTGAAGTTCTTGTAACAATATTTGATCAACTAGTTTATAATGTATGCTTGTTTCTTCCGCTCTTAATGCTTTTACCACATCATTTTATGTCATGTTAATATCATTAAAAATATAAAATTTACCTCTTGTGCGACAACCAAAGCCGGTTTGGTTGATCTTCCATCAAAATATGCAAGTTTAGCTTCATTCAAAGCAGATACTAACTTCGTTTTTGGCAGATCATCAGGCACCATTGCAGGGACGCCCAATGTGTAGATACATGTACGAGTTTTCCTAAAAGCATGTTATTTAGATTGACCAATAGAGAGCAATATTGGCAGATAAGTTTATAACAAGCCTGAAAATAGTAAATCAACTATAGCACGCAAACATTCCTCAAAAAGTTACCAAAAAAAAGCAAAGAAGGATTCAAATATTCTATAGATATTTCTGTTTTGTGGAAAAAAAAAAATCTTGGCCACTAGATCATGTAGAAACTGTATACCACAAACAATTCAAAATGTATTGTTTATCACAAACATCAAGCATTCTACCAATGAGATGGGGATAGTTTTAATTTATATATTTTCCTACTGGGATCAGGCAAATTCCAGAAGCATCGTTGAGTATCTGTAAACCAAAAGAATCGTTAAATATCCATAACCTTAAGCAGATAGACCAAAATACAAGATATCTTCCAACACTCAAACAACATGCAATTCTTATTTGGCCGAGAGTTAAGGCTAAAAAATTCTATTATACAGATTCAAACAGCATTTTGAGATCACTCCTCAGTGTCACTATTCTAGCTACCACTGGAAACTTCACAGATATGTGGTAGAAGGAGATGATGACTCTAACATTACTGATTATATGCAAGCTAAAGATATTGATGTAAACTATACCCGAGTGTCAAGTGAGTAACACCAAACACAAAAATAGACTCAATTAAGGCAAGTGTAACTTGAAATAATATAAGCTATGATGCACCGACACTTCTCCTCAAAGAGGCGTGCAGTGTCCGACACCGTGTCCGACACGACACTGGTCCGACACTCCGACACGTGTCGGACACGCCAAAAACGTGTCCGATAAAAAAAAATTAAAAACAAATTGGACACGCATGTCCGACATGCGTATCTTAAATATTTTATAATTTTTTAAAAATATAATTTCTTATATTTGGCGAGATTTAAACTAAATTTCTTATTTCATATCCATAACATCAAATCAACGTCTGCATTTAATACCCATTCATCGAATATTTTCATTTTCATTTCTCTTTGGCAGTGAAGGTATTTTTATCTCCTCTCTTTTTGCACAATTACAAATCTTTCTCTTGTTGAACCAGAGTTGAAAGTAGTAATATTCAATTATGATGATATTGAAGGTCAAAAACAAACCTGTAAAGCTAATCCTAATAGTTGAAGCTTGAATGCTTGATGTTGTAATAAGTGATTATTTGCTTATATTTTTATGGTTGTACTAGATATTTTGTACTAAATATTTTATATTATAAGCTAGACAAGTTATCATGTCATTCATTTATTATTGTTTGTCATTTTTAATATGATATTACATTAATATATATACATTATATAAAAAAATATATTGTCATGTCCGCGCCGTACCCGTGTCCTATATTTTAAAAAAAAGTCGTGTCCCGTATCCGTGTCGTGTCGTGTCCGTGTCGCCGTGTCCGTGTCCGTGCATCATAGAATATAAGTTAATTTTGATTCAAATAAAAAATAGAGGTTTTGAGCGACTTTGACTTTTAATTATATTTAAATAGTTATAATCATTATTTCTATGGGAATGAATAGTTGAAGCCAAGCACTTATAATATCATCTTTTATATTCAATTATTCATATACCTATATAATTGCTCACACTACTACTGTTTCCAAGCTTAGAACGTTATGAAAGCTCCAATAAAACTTTTATAAACTGCATATTTTGCAATCAGCATATGCTTCTATTCATTATTTAGATGAAATGTAGTCAACCTGAGCTTTACATAACTCCAGGCCACAGCCTTCAAATAGCTAAAAGAATATGAACACCATATTCCATAGGAAATCGAAGGAAGAGTCATCATGGATTCAAATCATAATATAAGATCATTATCCATAGTTCCTCCACAGTGTTCCGATTATAAACCCTTAAACTTTTGAGGTATAGGCTCCTCCAGAATTTTCAAGGTGAACCCAAAGGAGGCTTTACTTTTCTTTATTTTATTCATCTTGGAATGGTCAACTAAACCACTTAACAACAATCTCGATCCAACCAAACTCTACTGATGAAGGCGAGGGATTTTAATCTTTGAATTTTAAAACTAATTCTAAGTCATTAGTGATTTTGGTTCACCTCACCATTTGTATTTAAACAACAAAAATATAGGAGTTTCTTTGTAGCTTTGTCGATGAGCTGGGTAAGATCTTTAAGCCCGGCCGCTCAAATCTACAACATTTATTGAACCATAATAAAATCTACATTGTTGTGGGAGTTTGTAGTTTTTTTTTTTTTTTTGAAGGGAAATTAATCAAGAAGATACTAGAAATGGTTTAAAAAATGTAATAAAGTAAAAATCTAAATAAATACCACTCCATCTCCTAGCTTCTCAGCTTCACTCAATTTGAGAGTAAACTACAAAGTTTAGTCCAAAAATGGATCTCCTTGTGTCCTATTTATATACTATTAGTAAGTGATGCCACTACTATCTCGGTTGTAAGGAATCATTTGCTAGGTTGACGTCTACCGCATCAGCCTCATAACTTCCTCTTGCTATGCCAAAATGCTTGGTTGAACCTACCCCACCTGAGATCATCAAACCAGACCTTGGTTGAACCACATCCACCTGGAATCATCAAACCAGTTCTATGATCCTTCTCATGCAATGACAAGGGCCCACCAAATGCTATCTCTACTCTCCAGCTATTGTGGAGGTACACTACATATTTTGCATCGCTCAAACATTCTTCCATGACATGCAAAAAGAAATATGCTGGCCATACAAAAATATTTAAATAATATAAATGGCATGAAACAAATAGATTGTGCCTTATGAAGTCAGTTATCAAGAATTTCAGCAACGCCAACTAAACAAATGATTGAAGAAAAATAAAGTCTTACATCTGTTTATCAACAATCACATACGTAGATGTTGACGTTCCCCCGTCAGAAATCTGAGAAGTGGGTAAAAAATCTTAAGTAGCAACGCAGAAAGGCACAACTATATACCAAAAAAAAATAAAGGCGAAAGAATGAAATTCTGCTGGAAAACAACAAACACTGGACAAGATTGTGAATTAGCTGTTGAAATTGAGACTGAGATTACATAAGCACCAAAAGGGCTATAAGGTGCATAATAAGGCATAGAACTCTCTAATGGGTAACTTAGGAAACAATATGCAATGCCTAGCCAACCTTGACTAGAGAAGTATCTACCCCGTCTGCTTCAAGCTCTGCCAAGGCGATTTGTCCCAGAGAATCATCACCAACCTGGGTGCAGTAATGTAATTAGAAGCAAGTAAAGCAACCATACATAGAAGCCAAAGATTTTATCGACCTAGAGCATCGTCGAGAATACCTTAGTGATCAGTTTAGGCGTCAAACCCAAACGAGAAGCACACGTCAAAGCATTAGCAGCATTCCCGCCACCAAAAACCTAGGCAAAGAATGAAAATTTAAAAACAAAACATAGAGCAAAATTCGAATTTGTAATCACAGTCTCCATCAACTATTACCTGCAAGCTCCTGCCACGAACCTTCTCATCGGGTTTAGGAAAAGCATCAACGATTGCAACATAGTCCACAGAAACCATTCCAAACCCCACCTAAACCAAGCAAACTCATTAATTGATTTCAAGGAAATACAAACCAAAACATTACAAGCACAATTTTATAAGAAACACGAGAAAATACGCACTACGATGCGATTCTCGGGTAACGGAGGAAGATCAGAAGAGAACAGACCGTGCGCTTCAGATATCACCGCTTCCGCCATGGATCTCTCTGCTAAAAGAATAGGAAAACGAAAACGAGATAGGCAGAACATGAAAGGGAAACAATAGTAGGGTTTATGGCTGGTGCGAATAACGGATTCACTGATTTCTACCTTGAGAGATGAAATTGAGATGATGCAAACAACCAATCGAGGTCAAGTGAATTTCAGCTCAATCCAGCTATGGATCTCTGCTCAACCAGATGTACGCCGCCGGTCATTGCTTAAATCTGTAGATGGAGACTCAATTAGTAGAAGTCTGTGCTGGTGCTGGTTTGTCTTCTTCCAGTTTCCGCTTGTTTTTACTATATCTTCTTCTGTAGCTGATAGCTTCTCCCCCTTCCAGTTTTTTTTCCTTATTGGGCTGCAGTTTTATTATATATATCTACCCTTCAAAATTTTAATATTACATAAATATCATTTTATATTACTTTAATAGCAAATATATCACTCATATTTCATTCATACCACACATATTTGATAGAAAAGTAATCTATGGATGATATATATGTATATTAAAATTTTAGGTATTAAATAAATAAATAAAATGACATATGATATATATATTCCCCAATTATGAATCATCATTAGCATTATCATATTTGTGATTGTCTTATGATAATGTTGGTATCATATAATGTGTTATGGTCAGCAGGTCAGGTTTGACCCACTATGAGTTAAACCGTAATACAATCCATAGCCATCGCTAAACTATTGAAATTTTTAGGGGAATTACCCTCACTAATTTTTCATATCATTTATATGCGAATTAAATAAATATTAAAAGAAAATAATTTATTAATTTTATTTTATTTTTATTTTTTATATGGGTGTCAAGAAATGATCTGACCCACCAACTTGAAGATTTCAAATAAGATGGCAGTTTGTGTTGGGGATGGAAGGTAGTCACTACAACAAAACAAATATGAAAAATATAATTGCAGCGGAAAGTAAAGGATATTCGGATTTAATGCGGAAAAATCCAAAATCGAGAAAAAACCATAGAGACGTACCACTCCAAGAAATATACTATTAAAATTATGAGAAATAAGTACGAATTTATCCTCTCTCACTCTCTCCTTGCTTATCTTCTCTCTTGCACAGTTTTCACACTCTAAATAAAAAGAGAAAGACAAGTAAATAACACAAAGGGATGTCACCCTTAAGAAAATGAGAAAGAAAAATTGTCAATCCCGCTTCGCAGCGCTGTGGCTCTTAATATAGAGCACTACGACACTCTACACTATGACGCTTCTCCTAATAAATTTTGCAACATCGGGACACTTGAGCACACAACGTTGGGGCGCTCGGACACAGCGCTGGGGCATTGTTTGGAAAAAAAAATGTATTAAAAGTACCCGAACTCAAGTAGGGGGAGAACCCCCACCCCCAACGAGCACGAGATTGGCTTAAGGTCTTAAGCAACAATACAATGTGATTGATCTATACAATCAGATTCCACACAAATTAACAATTTGTTTAATATAAATTTAAGTATGCGACAGTAAATGGTACATTGTCTAATTGATTAATTCTAGAGAAAATTTATTTTATTTCAAATTACATGTGCCCCTCTTTAGGGATTAGAGAAAAGCTTATGCATGTTCAAGTTATTATGTTTGTGATTGTACATGTGCAATGGCATAGGTCAACGACATGAATTTACCTATACATGAGTTTATCTATGCATTTGTTTGATTATAGTTTTGCATATGTAAGCATCTCTTCTTTAAGGTTGTATGCTACGTTATGCTTATCATTATTGTCTAACAAATGTTTATACTACTTAGCCTGGTTATGACATTTTTTATGGGATGAATGTGTTATAGGAAAGCCCATTCTACTCATGTAAATTTAGCTCACTTTTCATTTTTCGATGCGCATTTTGAAACTTTATGAAAATTATTATGCTCTGCATTTGACACAGTATGAAAATTTTGCCGTTCGTCGTCGACCACTCACCAACCACCACCACCAGCTAGGGGTGCAACCGAGTCAAGCCAGCTCGGGCTCGACTCGTTAATGGGCTCGACGAGCCGAGCTTATCGAGCTCGCGAGTCGAGCTCGAACACGAGTTCGAGCTCGAATGCTAAACGAGCTCGAGCTCGGACACTGGGCTGATCGGCTCGTTGGCTCGTCGAGTAGCTCGGGTCGAGCGTGTCGCGTCGCGTCTGCGGGAGGCCGAGATCGGGAACGGGCGGAACTGAGGCCGGGCGCGGGATCGGGATCGGGATCGGGTAGAACCGGAGCTAGCGAGCGCATCGCGTCTGCGCGGGAGCGAGCCGGGATCTGGCGCGGGCGGAACGAAGCGGGGCTGCGGGAGCGAGCGAGCGCGTCGCGTCTGCGGGTTTAGGCAAAACAACACTAGATTTTAACCCTAATTTGCACTTTTTACCTATTTTTAACTAAAACCGAACCTTCCTCTACATCCAGTGAAAGGACCTAATAATTGCTCGAACAAATAAGCCAATTAAGCTTAAGAAAACCAGAACAAACCTCTCTCTCTCTTTATATATATATATATAGAAAGAATATTGGCCATCAATTCATGTTGCTTTGCAGAAATAATTTAGGATTTGTTTGGGATAGCTTTCTTAATGCTTCTTAAAGCAGCTTTTTATTAAAAAAAAAATAATTTTTCTTCTAAAAAGCTACTTTAAGAAGCATTAAAAAAGCTGTATCAAATGAAGCCTTAAACACCTCTCCAATAGGAGAAATGATTATGTGCAGAGTTCGGATGTAGTTCGTCTTTAGACTCCAATGAAATCAAGTCATATGGTTTATATTAGGGATGCAAACGAGTCGAGTCGAGCTCGAGCCAGGAGGTGTTCGAGTCGAACTCAACTGTCAAGTATCAAGCTAAAGCTCGAACTTGTGTCGAGCTCAAAAATCTGGCTCGAGCTCGACTCGTTCCACCGTAACAGAGCTCGGTTTGATCCGCTTTTCGAGCCCCAAACACAGTCTGGTTCGGCTTCCAACACATGTGGCGCGATCGTCCAAAAAATTAATTAACTGTTTTAATTTGCGCAATCCTCCAAAAAAAATTAAGCTATCGGTATGAGCTTATTATTAACCCTAAAAAAATTATCGATATGAGTTTATTATCAATTTTTTAAAATATTTAAATTTATAATTTCGAGCCGGCTCACAAGCTCGCGAGCCTAGCTTTTTCAAGCAAGCTCGAACTTGAGCTCGTTTAATGAACGATTTCAGCTCGAGGCTTTTATTGGAGTTTGAAGTGTATATACAACACTAGATGAATACGAAGGGTTGTACGGGAATACGAAGCGATACTTGGTTGGGCAAATGTAGAATACGAATGGTTTGTTACGTATAATTATGAATTTATAAATAACAAGGATCTTTAATAGAATAATTAATTAAGATTTATACTTTAAATTTTTTATTTTTTGAAATTATGGGTTATTAAGATTACGGAATTTTAACCGTATAAATGAATTATGTCATTAATTTCGAGGATGTATATAAATTAAATATATAATTAAAAAAATCACGTGATTTTATCAGTTTGATAATAAAACAACGGCAGCGACGCCCGTGAAGGCCGAAATCTTTAGCCTAATCGGCCCCTTACGCGTCCCCGCGAAATTGCTAAGCGACTCACTAGAGCTCTGCTCTTCACGCACGCTCACTAAAATCCAAGAAAATCCTGCTTCCCTCTCCTCCGCACGACGCGTGTCTCTCCGCGTATCCAAATCGCGCCATACAAAGAGTCGACATAGACACCTGTCGCCTACGATTGACACGCGTCATAAGATAATTAGTTTACGATCACAGGAAGTCGGCGAGCTCCGGGCGGTTGGGACACGTGAGCAGGTCACACGCGCGGGTGCAAGACCACTCGTTTCGTCAAACGAAAAACGTAATCACGGCCGTCCATTCCCTTCAGCCGTTGCCCTTTCGCCACGTGGGAAATAGACGGCTGCCTTATCAGCCGGTCTCTATTAAAGCAGCCCCTGCCCTAATCCGAACTTATCAAATCGGAAATAAGATTCACAGTGTAAGCAGAAATCAAGAAGCGAAGTTGAAGAGGAAGAGAAAGATGGCGCTGAACATTACTGGCCAGATCGGTTCCCTGTGCGGTTCCCCGTTCCCGGAGCAGTCTGGCGGCGGAGATCAGCCGGCGGCAGTTTCGGCGCTTTGGAAGCCGGTGGCGGCAGGGGGAAACCTGCGGTGCCGGATCCGGCAGCCTGGAGGGCAGGATCTGGATTCCCTTACGCCACCAGTGAGCCCGTGCCGATCGCCGGTTTTGGGAGCCTTGCGACCGGATTTGACGATGGCGTGCCAGGCTCTGATGACTGATGCGGCGGTGGAAGAGGGCGTGGAGCTCGAGCACGGGGGATTAGGAACGGGGGATAAGGGGAAAGGGGTTCCGGTTTTTGTGATGCTTCCACTGGATACGGTGAAACCAGGGGGCGGGATGAATAGGAGGAAGGCGATGGTGGCGAGTTTGAAGGCGCTGAAAACCGCCGGAGTGGAGGGGGTGATGGTGGACGTGTGGTGGGGGATCGTGGAGAGGGAGCGGCCGGAGGTGTACGATTGGAGCGGTTACGATGATCTGATGGAGATGGCTCGCCGGATTGGGTTGAAGGTTCAAGCTGTCATGTCTTTCCACAAGTGCGGCGGTAACGTCGGTGATTCTTGCACGTGAGAACCTTATATTTTCCCCTCCTTTCATTTTCGCAATAATTTAGTTCATCTGATTAAGTTCTTTATAGGATTGCCGACTTTTCGTCCAAGTGGATGATAATTTAAGCATTTGCTAATTTGGAAATGGAAATAAATGCACCAAAGCACTTCGGATTCAAACCCGACGCTTTTTTTTTTTTATCTAACATTTCTATTTCCTCGAAATTTTTTGAAAGCAAAATTTTAGAACAAAAAAAAGCTAAATTTTTGTTATATTGATTGTGATGATGCAGAATACCGTTGCCGCCGTGGGCGGTGGAGGAGATGGAGAAAGACCCGGGCTTGTCGTACACAGACCAATGGGGCCGGCGAAACTACGAATACATCTCGCTGGGCTGCGACACTATCCCGGTGCTCAAGGGCCGAACTCCGGTGCAGTGCTACGCCGACTTCATGCGCGCATTCCGCGACCGCTTCGCCTCTCTTCTGGGCTCCACAATCGTCGAGATTCAGGTAGGCATGGGCCCAGCCGGCGAGCTCCGTTACCCTTCCTACCCTGAGCTTCACGGCACCTGGAAGTTTCCCGGCATCGGCGCCTTCCAGTGCAACGACCGCTACATGCTTGCCAGTCTCCGCGCCGCCGCCGAATCCGCAGGCCATCCCGAGTGGGGTAATGGCGGCCCCACCGATGCAGGGGGCTACAACAGCTGGCCCGAAGACGCTCCCTTCTTCCGTCGTGAAAATGGCGGATGGGACGGAGACTACGGCCAGTTTTTTCTCTCCTGGTACTCCGGCCTTCTTCTCGACCACGGCGAACGGGTTCTCTCAGCCGCCACTGCTGTTTTCGCCGGCACCGGCGTTAAGATTTCCGTAAAGGTCGCTGGCATCCACTGGCACTACGGCACGAGGTCCCACGCTCCAGAGCTCACCGCCGGGTACTACAACACGCGATTCCACGATGGGTACAAGCCCATCGCCGAGATGCTTGGGCGACACGGCGCGGTGCTGAACTTCACCTGTGTGGAAATGAAGAATTTTGAGCAGCCCGAAGAGGCGATGTGCCGGCCGGAGGAGCTGGTGAGGCAGGTGGCTGCTGCGGCGATGGGAGCCGGAGTGGGACTGGCAGGGGAGAATGCTCTGCCGAGATACGACGAGGCGGCGCACGACCAGATCGTGAAGACGGCAACGGTGGCGGAGGGTGAGGAGAGGGAGAAGATGGAGGCGTTCACGTACCTGAGGATGGGGCCGGATCTGTTCCGTGAGGATAATTGGAGAAAGTTCGTGGGGTTCGTGAAGAGTATGCGGGAAGAGGGACGGTGCAGAGAGATAGTGGAGAGGGAGGCGGAGAGCTTCGTGCACGCCACCGTCCCGCTTGTCCAGGAGGCCGCCGTCGCCTTAATGAGTGGCTGAGCCGTCCCCGGCGATCTTTTTCATAAAAACTAGATATGCATAGGTTATTTTGATCGCTGAAATAATTGAAGGAAATATAGAAGGGAAGGATTGGTGCGTTCTCTTCTATCTTCCGGCTCCTGTGCTGTTTATTGAACATGCTTAGATGTTAGTAGGTTCAATTACCTAAGCGTATTTGGCCAAAAAGGAATTTATTTGAAGATAATATGTACTCTTATTTTGGGGGATCTTAGCTGGTTGCTTAGGAGTATTATGTGTGGAGCTGTTGTTGTGAAGAATTTTTTTTATAGATATGGATGAAGTAATGTAGTTCTATTCCTACTAAAATTAGTAGCTCTTTTAATTTATTTTATTGATTGTTAAGATTATTTTGTGTTCAACTCGAATCTCCGATATTGAATGAGCTCAAGGTAGGCAATTATCCACCTTGAAGAACATGCATTCTAAGGGCTACTTCAATGGAATGGCAAACACTCGTTTGCCGTTCTTGCTTTGCTCCAACTGACCGTCATTTTTGACGTCATTTGATCGCGGATGAACAGTGCGACGCTAATATTGGCGTTGTACTGTTCATCTGCACATTTTTTTATCTCTATCGAACTTTTGGAAGAAATGCGCGAAAGAAGAGAATGACGGTTACGAGGCAAAATGGCGTTCGATTGAAGATGAATCACGACATTTTTTGCTTTCACTGTATTTTGGAGTGAAAAATGAGATTTTCGGTTGGAGATGACCTAACTATGTTGTTCTCCTTCCTAAAGCATTTGCTCAAAGTTATAAGAAAGTTCCTTTTTATTTTAGCTTTAAGATTATGCACTTTTTAATATCATGTTGTCGAACATGAAGCCATAGCTTGGTAGAAGATGCGTCATTTTTTATTTTGTGGTAGTAAGCTATATTATGATGAGTCTAGTTTTGTTTGGTTTAGCTTTTGATGACTGCTTTTTCGTTGTTTTCAATATTTTTTTTTAATTGAAAAGCTACTGTAAAAAGCAGTAAAAAAATTGTCCCAAACTAAGGATATAAATTATTCTGTACGAACACCCGATGTCGTACGGAGGCCAACCAGAATATGCAAAATCACGTTTTTGCTCGGTACCAGTGCTCTGCATTGGGTGACATGACGTGTTCTGATTTATATGCGGACCATCCGGTGTACGCACATAATAATTTCTCCAAACAATGGCTTAAACTTCCTTTGGGATAGTAGAATAGTTTTTTAATGTTAAAAATTTTTAGCTATAAATTTTTGCACTAAAAATTTGTTTTAAAAAGCAATAAGAAAGTTATCTTAAATGAAGCCTTACATAGATGAGCTTAGATATTATTTTTTATGGGTTGATTAAAGCATGGAAGTTGTTTTGTAGCCACCTTACTTGCATTATGTGATTAAATGTTAGAAAACTATTAAAAAAAAAATCAAAGATATGAATTCAAGTTGGATGCTTTGAGAGAATGAGAAATAGGAAGTCTTATCTTTCTCTATGTGATTGTCATACTTTCCTTTTTAGGTTGTGGTAATGGTGATAGCAATTGTTTTACATAAAAGTAGAAGATGATCTATGTCTTATTTAGCTTACATTGATCCACATGATTATTTCATATAAAAAAAAATTCATTTGAGGAATAATATGATTAGTGAAGGCCATTTTGGCATATTTATTTCTTTTTTAGAATTCAATAAAATGCAATGAATTTGCTATATAAATCTCTTTCATTGTAAATTCACATATAAGTTATTTACCTGAGGTAAATGTGAATATAAATTGGATTTTTTTTTTTTTTTTTTGAATTTTTTTGTGGAGTGTATCATTACACTATTTAGGGTTTCAGATGAACAAATATGTTTGGCAAGTTTTTCATGGCTTGATTCTATTAGAATTTGATTATGATCATTTAATTCACTAATCAAATAAATTTGAATGGTTTTATATAATAATAAATTGATTAATGAGCAAGTTTGATTAGCTTAGTATTCTATTTAATTATGATCATGAATAAAATCATCTAAGTATAAAAAATAAATTTGTTAAGAAGCTTGATTAAAGCTCAATAATATACTCATTTGAGAGTTATGACTCGATTATACGTTTTTTCTTGTGTAGTGGTCTAGTTATATGTTGTATGCTTAAACTCCACACATATGCAATCTCTATATATAGCATAGGCAAAATTTTAGGAAGAAGCACGGTTGTTGCCGAAATTAGGGGAAAAAGCGTAATAGGGGAATAATTTTAAAAGCAGCATTTACGCCATTTGGTCAAGCGTATTGATAGAATGCGCCGCACTTTAAAGCGCATTCTTAAGAATGCGCTTTAAAGGTAGGCGTATTCTGTGGTTCCCCCAAATGCCAACTCACGAAACATTAACCTTTTTGGTGTTATCGCCGACCAGGTCCATTTTTTCGGGGCAGATAACGCTAGTTGGTTGGCATTCAGTGTAGCCACTTAATTAGTGGTTGGAAGCGTTGGGAGTTATACGGGAAGCGCCTTTAAAAGGAGGAGTATGCTGAAGATTGGTAGTGCAGAAGGTTTCATTCCTTGAATTCAGAGAGAAAGAGAGGTAAGTGAAGTTTTATTTAGGTTTTTTTTTTTTTTTTTTGAATAATTTTCTGAGTTTTTAGTTTATAAAGATTTTATATGTAATCTGTCAAAAGATTTGTATGATTAATTTTGGCCAATGAATGTGTATTGAAGGAGTGATATTTGCTTAAATTTGTATTGTGTTTGTTATTTTTTTAGTTACGATGTTTATTCTTATTAGTTGAAGGTGTTAATGTTTGTTTGGAGAACTTGTATTGGAGTTGGTACTATTAAGTATTAATTTTACATTATCCTTTAATTAGAGTTTCATTTATAATTTCATATGTTTTACCGGATAGCTTATATGATAAATTGCACATCCATGTCACTGTCTTGCCCGAGTCTATTAAGATAAATTTTGGGGCTTCCAATTTCTTTTTTTAAAAAATTATTTATTGAGTATAAGATAAATTTTATTTTGTAAAATTAGTTATTTTAAAACTAAGAGATAAATTAGATTTAAATTTGCAAAATATAATGAAAGCATGTATAGGAGAGAAATTAATTTTCAGCAAGTAAACATGATCTTTATTCCTTTTTGAAGAGAAAATTATTTGAAGTATAATTAATTTTATACAGTATACTTATCCGTTAATGAAAATTACTTGAAATGAAGAACTAAAATGTTACTTCCACCCTTTTTAAATTTTTACACAAATTTAAAAAAAAAAACTAAGCTTGACTGCTTAGGATCTTCTAAATAAATGTTTTTCCTTATTATTTTAGGAGAGGAAAAAAACAATAAATATTGTTCCTTAGCTAAAAACTTTATGTTCCGGAAGAGTATTCCTAAATTTTTCCAAAATAAAAAAGAGAATTTGATTGGTGGATATATCAAGAGATCTCCTTTTTCATTCAGATTTTATTGGAAATTTTTATGAGATATGTATAAGTGTAAAGAATCAGGTGAATATTTTTAAGAGATTTAGGAAAGCATGAACTGATTTGCATAGCTGTTAGTTGTAACTTTGATTTTCTATGCAAATCCCCATCTATAAAAACTATTCCTTTTGGACATTACTATTCAAGGCAGAGAGAGCGAGAGAAATATATACATCCAGGGGATGAAATTAAAGGAAAGTTTTAAGTTTGGAAGACGCAGGACAAGATAGGAAGAGGAGAGTTGAGAAGAAAAGAGTTCTCGAAGAAACTTCTCAAACAGTTCTTCGATATCTCATGATAGAAAGATTAGACCAAAGCTTATTTGTGCGATAGTGGCAGGAGATGTAATATCAACATCAAACGAATTTGGTGCCAATTAATTGAAGTTTTCAATAGTACACCGAGTGATTGGAAAGTCGATATAAGAACGCACATAAATGACAAATGCTAAGGCCATGAACTTAGGACATGTATTAGATAAATTTTTTTCAAATAATTAACGTTTATAATTTTAAAAACAACACAAGTATAATGTAAACCCTAAACTTTAGATTGTTTTCCCTTTTTTATTTTTTAAACATTATTGTTTAGTGAGTATTTTAACGTTTCCTATTTTTTCAAATAAATAAAGTTGATTGAAAAACACTCAAAATAACTTTTCAGTATTTTGAATGCTTCTAAAATTCAACTATCACCATTGGCTAGAACCATTGTTGTTCCCACCAATCCAAAGAGGTCGCCACCCGCCCCACAGAAACCTTAGTTAAAAGTTTTGATTTTTTAAAATTTTAATTTTAATATTAAATGTTCATAAAAAATATTAATTTATATAATTCTTAGAAAAATAAAATTTACATTTTGTTGTTCTTGTGAAATATAAAACCACTGAAGCAATATTATTTTTAAAAAATTTTATATGATTTATTATTGAAATAAATGTGAACTCAAATATAGAATAAAAAAAGGAAATTATAGAAAGTATACATGTAGAGCACTTTTTATTTAAAAAAATTTATATAGCAGATATGAATTTGAATATTTCATTAGAATTTCGAAAAACAAATTTTAAAGAACAGGAAAAAGTAATAAGAAAAAATCTGATTAGAGAGGTATCTAGAAGAAATCATGATATATTTAGGAGAGATTTTATTTGATATCTGCAAGAGATCAATCTTCTGAATCAAAGTTAAGACACTTTTGTTATTTGTTTGTCAAAGCAAGAAGTTGCACTATAGGCTAAATAATGAAGACCAACATATGAAAAAAATGAAGACCAACATATGAACCAGTATAAATTATGAAATATCAGGTGAACGTATTTTATTAATTATTCTTCCAGTTAATAAGGTACTTCTTCTAAATCTCTTAATAGCAAAACTAATTAATGTATATAATATCTAAACTATTTGTAAATTTGAAATTTTTTAATTTTTAATATTTCAAAATAATTTCTTCTATCTCAAGCCATAATGGAGATTATTTTTTCAATAAAATTACATCTTATTTTATTTAATAATACAAATTACATTTTTATAAAGGTCCAATCTGCAAAAGAGATATAATCAACGCTACAATTTAATCCGTAAATCATTCATAATGTTAAAATTTGTTATTAACCGATCACTTTGAACGAATTTCATATTTTAAATATCTCTCATTAACAAAATCTTATACAAAAAAAAATCTATTTCATAATAAAATACATTTATTTCAATACTCGAATTTTTACAAAAACTAACATACAACGCGGGACGTATCAACTAGTTAAATGTGCGTTATTATAAATGAAAATCTTTAATTTTAGGCAACATTAAAAAATTGTGTCTAAAAATTACTATGAAAAAGTTATTTATATTTGTTTTA